ACAACCCATGGCTGCTCTAAATGTATGAGTTTATGTAAAGGTAAGGCTCGCTGAGTGATGCTGAAAAAATCATGCGTTTTGTATTGTTAAGGAAAAATATGTCAGTGTATAAAATATAGTAAGGGCCTGGTGCACTTTTCCCTCCCAGAATTCATAGCTACATCCATACATGCACTTCCTCAGAACAGGGATCCTACATGAGAGCTTTACAGACTCAGTGGGTGGACCAGCTTGAGCCCGGGGGCTTGTGGAGCAATGGGAGGCCTGTGATGTTGCACGCATGCAGCAAACGGGTGGACTGTGATGTGGTGGACTGATGGAGTCAGACCCCAGACAGTAGCTTTAGCAACGTCCCACTGTGACGGCGAGCTTCGTCCCCAGGCTCAAACAGCGTCTCCTGCAGCAACAAATCCTGTTAAATAACCTCAGGATGCTGCTTTCCTTTATCCAAACCACGCCAAGCTTTTTCACCTACATCTCCCCCTCCTCCATTCTACCAAGATGTGTGTGTGTGTGTGTGTGTGTGTGTGTGTGTGTGTGTGTGTGTGGAGTGGTCATTAGTCTCTGTTTACAGTGGAGAGAGCCTGGCCAGCTGGCATGTGACGTGTGATGTGTCTCGCTGTGGTCTACCACTGAGAGACCCCTGAGTCGTGGAGGACCAGCAGCCCCGGGCCACAGAGACCACGGCGAGCCCTCGGCAGATGGAGCCTCTCGCGTTCCTTGTCTCTCTTCCACGAGCAAAGGAGAGGTGGAGCGAGCACTGGAGGTGGGACTGGCCCCGGCCCCCATCACAGATGCCAGGAGAAGGCTGAGACTCTGGCGAGGCCCTGCTGAGAGGCTGCCGGGCCGGAACAGGTGCAATCTCAGCCCCTCGATCCCCTCTGTCAGCACCTCAGTGGTGGAGCCCTCGCTCTCTTCCTGTCCTCGCTCCTTCTCATTCACACACTCGAGAGGTGTTGTGGGGCTGCATCCAGCCCCTCCCTCCACCCAGCAGCAAATCCAGGCACCAAAAAATTATGGCCGCACAGTTCTCTAGCCGTCTCGTGACTTTCATGTCGTAAGGAATGAAAATAAAAGTACCAAGTTCAAAGCACAGCGGCAGAAGTGTGTGTTTGTGACCCTCAGAGGGCAAACAGTGGAGTTGTGTTGACTCAGGCGTTTTCCTCTGCTGGCCATGATAAGCTCCTCGGCTGACCTCGCCACTGCCAGAGGGCCAACACAACCACTCTCCCATCAGCCCTTTCTTTATCGCCAGCAGCTACAAGACAAAGAGGTTCTGCAGTATACCTGGCTGCAGCCGGCATCCTGCCTGATGGAAAGAGTTTATGACAGAAGGGGGTGGGTGGTGAGGCCCAACACGCCACCTTGACCTGTCCCTGCTCCTAGGACCTTGGTGAACCTTTTCCCATCGCAGCCAACCCCCCACGGCGACCTGGACACACCAACCGCCACTGAGTTATTATCATAATTTCCCGGAGAGGCATTGCAGGGCCTCCACAACCAGGGAGGCTTCCGTGTTTTACAGAATGTTTTGTGTTTTATTGCCTTTAAGTCACTCATAGGCCAGCGGAGAGGGCCCACAATGATAAGAAAACCAGTCATGTGAAAAATGAAGGACCCCGCGCACAGGACTGAGAGGTGAAGAAGGGAAATAATAAAATACCTGACAAATGTGGAGCTCGACTGTATTTCATGCTCAAACCCGCCTCGCCTTCCAGCCCTCGGCCGCACTAAAAACATACGAGGAGAAAGAGGAGAAATAATAATAATAATAATAACAATAATGAATTCAGTAACAAAAACAACAGTAGCCCCCCCCCCCCCCACATCTCATGGATTATACTTGAAAAAAACACTCCTGGCCCTCTGACTCCCCCTCCCAGGTCCTTTGACAACATGACGGCCGTAAGATGCCCAGGGGCATTCCAAGCTGCCACCGTCCGCGCCATTTCATGTCCAAGCCCACCTGGGGTGAACAAAAAAAGGATTTGGAGCAATAGAATATTAACTAAAGAAGGGGGGGGGGGATAGCACTGACAAAACTGATAACACTTTTCAACGCGTCAAACTTTAGAGTCTTTAAAAAAACATCACTTTCATTGTCTCTTTAGTGGAGTGATTCCTGCTCCTTTCCCACAATCCCCTGTGGGCGTTTAAAGGTGCACTATATAAAAAATAAAACATCTGTTTAATCTCCCTGTTTCAAAGTCAAATCCCCTTTTGATCAAAAAATGATATTGATCTGCTTCAGTTGAGTGGTGAGGATTTCTCCTTTAAACTTAAATTATCATGGAGTCTTTGTGGTAAATCAATACAGCGGCTGCCGTTTGAGGCTCGTTTCAAAGGGGGCGCAAGAGCCATTTGAATATGGTTGCATTTGCACACATTATTTCTACTATCAGAATTCAAATTGACCTTGCATGTATTTATGTTATAAATGAATGTGTAAAACGTGGCATAAAAAGGGGGGGGCCTTTGTGTTCTTGCCTGTTTAAACACATAATCATCTTCTTGTGGTTGGTTCATGGCACCTGACTGACGCAGCGCTGGCTGGGTCAGCGACAGGGAACCATTGACGGGCTCGCGGCCCCTGGTGGAATGAAGTGGTCCTAATATTCCTTGAGCTTTAGCATGTCTGTCCTCACCCCTCACTCTGTGTCAGAGGGGCCCCGACATCGGGCACAAGTTATCTTCACATCTCCCCATTTTCTTTAATTACACCTCAGCATATTGCTTCTGGGCCATATGGAAGGCAGATATTGAGACCAGATAAGATGTATAAACTTCTGTCAACACCACGGCATATTAGCCAGAGCTGGAAGCACATTATCTCTATTCTATCCCTCCAATTAGAGCCCAATATCAAAATACATAAAGACAAGGCTGGCGACGAGGAGCAGGAAAACATTACATTAACAGGGGCCGTCGTCTGTTTTTTATTAAACTTGTATAACTTCCTTGCATTTGTTTTCTTTGCCACAAAATGAAAAGTCATTTCCACCAAGGGACCCAATAAAAACACAGATATATTACCCATTTAAACCCAGTGGCCTGGGAACTCCATGAGCTCAGCTGGTCCATACTGGCCTCAAAGCTTTTACACAGGGTCCTCAGTAAAAAAAATAAACCGTAGATTCACACATGAAAACTTATTTTCCTACATAAAGTAATACATTTGGAGTCACACGTTTCCCAACAAATCAAAGAATTATAAACACTGTGTCATTACGGGGTCGTTTTGAATGAAATGTTGGATTATAGAAGAACGTGTTGGAGCAATGTGGATTTTTACAGCAGTAATGGCTCCATTATTTTAATAGAAAAATGTCAAGGAAAAACAAATGATGCCCTAAACCCACGTGAGGCATGTATCGTCTGATCTGATATGAACAGCGTCAGACTCTGCTAACCTCCCAGTGACACCATGTTCATCTGTAATCTACCGTCATAACCACAAAGCTCTCCCAGAACACAACCGCCTTCCTCACTGGAAATAATGTATATAATGCAGCTGTTGAAGTGATTGAATTCAGTGCACTCAGACAGGGAGAGGTCACTCTGAGCCTCGCTGCAGCATCAGGATACACTCTATACACGGAGAGACATGGAGGGAATAAAGGGGGAGAAGGGAGAAGCGGGAAGAGGGAGTGGAGAGAGGTCACTTTGAGAAGCTGGATGCATGCACATGCCAAACAGCGTCTCTGGATCTCGCTCTCTTTCGTTAATCCCCTCTCTGATCCACCGATGCTCGGGCCAATCATTTGAGGCCGGCCGCAACCCGTGATCACTGGGCCCTAATCTGAGTCCCCGGCCCGTCCGCAGTCCACCTCAAACAGCACCGGCCGGGTGCCAGCAGAGGAGTGGCAGGCTTAGCCTTCTCCAGAGAGACAGCTAGAGGTTGTCTCTACATGGATGGACACTTCGCAGCTCGGCAGGGGCGGGAGGAAGGGGCAACATAGCAGCTGCTCGGGGCATATGGGCAGAATTCATTAAGTCTAGCTAAATAAGCCAAATGTGGAGGCGGTAAAAAAAAAGGGTGCATTTGTATATATGATAGAGAAACAGAAACTGAGATCACACACTGAATTTGAGCCCTGAGATCAAATATTCTGAGCACAAATACCCCTGCGTTATTCCTGAGGTAGCGCACTTGATGAAGTTGATTCAAGGCGCACCGAATGAAAAAAATCTGGATCTATTTGTGATGGGAAGTGATTGAGCTGTTAGATGCATAGAACTCGTGTCCTTGAGGACTTTGCTGTGCATCCCCAAATGCCATGAGACTGCTGCCTGCCTCAGAAATAAACCTAATCACAATCTGTAAATGTTACAGCTGTTTCCCTAATAGACCTGGCCGGACTTTGGAGGCCTGCTCTTAAATTCACACACATGAACCAAAGACGAAACTGAATGCTGATACATGAGGGCAGCATGCGTTACAGGCATGGTAAACAATATATTTCATAAATTAGGTCAGATTTTGTTCCAGTGTGTGAGATGCAATGTTTGTACTTCACAGTTTTTACATTGTTTCTGTTCTTTCACTTTAAAGAACACATACCTGACACCAGCAGTTGTCTTCTACCAGACTCAAAGCCATTCTTCTTTATCCAAAAGGTATAATGTATGCTAATCCCCCAGGTGTCAATAGGAAACTCTGTTCAATGCATTTGAGATAATAGTGAAGAAGGGGTTGTCTCCTATCGAAGAGCTGGAAGATAAAGTCAATGGCACAGTCAATAACAATAAGGTTGTGGGCTTTAATGAGGAATGTTAATTTGAACACAATCAACTGGATTTCAGCTTAGCTGATTATCAACCTTGGACTTGTATGAGGTTGTTGATAATGGAGACAGTACAGGGAGGGCATTTTTATCTATGACAGCTAGATTCAGAGGCTTTAAACACAAGCAGTTTGCCTTTTAGCTGTTTAAGTTAAAAAGTAACAAACAAAACAAAGAAGAAATTCAAAAACCTAAATAAAGACAGGATCAACACGGCACTGTTCACTACACAGTGAACTTTATTTAGGAAAATACAAGAAATGCTGTGTATACACTTTACAGAATATATATCCTGGATAACAAACAGTAATTACAGTTAATATAACCAAAGTCACTGGCCCTTCTGTGTAATGGACATTCACCCAGTTCCCACTGGAGCCATTCAAAGTCCAAACCTCCTCTCCTCATGTTACAGGCAACGCAGCCTGCTCCTCATTCTCTCCTTGATCCCATTCCATCAGCAGCTCTGAGGACACCTCTGTAAACAGATGATCCCAGTCCCAGCTCACATCATCCTGCAGCGTAACACAGAGACAAGAGAGGGAGGAGAAGAAGAAGAATTAAGAGGCAGGAGGAGACATAACAAGAAAGAGAGCATGGGGAACGCAGGGAGCAAAGAGAGGAGAATCGGGGAAGGAGAGCAGAGGGTGTTAATGTACACATCATAAATCTTGATTACCTGGGAGACAGAGTGGCAACCTCCCCTGGTGCTCTAGAAACAGCTGGACAGGCCTTTGCTGGGAGCTCACAAGCTATATTTACTAAAAACTCACTCACCTCTTTCACCTCCTGCTCTGGTGCTAAAACCTTGGTGAGGAGCTTCAAGTCGATCTCTCCGTCCTGAAGAAAGAGTGCAGTAAAAATGTACTTATCTTGCACAATCAGGGGTGAAATATTAAATGAACCACCTTGACGAAAAGAGACATGAACATATCAGGAATATATTTAAAAAGAAATTCTTGACTTACTAGGGTCTGAAAGGCAGAGTAATACTTCAGATCGTTGTCCAGATCTCTGTAGGTCATTACACGGTTCACCTGAACGCTAACAAGATGACAGAAAATCAGAATAGGCCTCTGATACACAGATAGACTTGTATTATAATCAATACAGCACATCACAGAAGAGTAGCAGCCACCTCAACTGCAGTGCCTCAGCAAACCAAGAGAAGTGGAGGTGGAGAAGTTTGGAGTTTGTGCACATTGAGGCTCTAAGACCACAGAGAGCAGGAGATGGTTGCCAAGTGGTAAACGCTTCAAATTGAAACCCAGCTGCTTATCTGTGGGTTGGAATTAAGTGTGGGGGGGGCTCTCAAAGTGGCCGGGGCCTAGCAGTGCATGCCAGTCCTACTTACTGCACATTACACGCTACATTGCCCCCACAATGAGTTCAATGTGGATATTATCTCGCACAGAGAGCAAGCCCCAGCCTAATAACCTCCACCGCTGTCATAGCCTTGCTACATATTCGACACATGTCGGCGTGTCTCTCACTGCCCTGTAAATCAAAGGGCCCAGTTAGTAAGGACCCAGGTAACGGAGTTGCATAAATCACACCCAACTGTTATTTCTCCATTTCAGCCGATAAAGCGAGACTCTGCAATGACACGAGTGGAGGACAGGTAACCATCGAAGTCACCAGAGCGAGCGACTGATCTGCCCTGTGCACCGACAGAGGTCAAATGTCTCACACACACACGACACGGGGGACATGTGTATGTGTGTGTGTGTGTGTGTGTGTGTGTGTGTGTGTGTGTGTGTGTGTGTGTGACTCCTGAGGGATAAAGGACCACCGAGTTTAAGTTGTACACTACCTTGGTGGAGCTGCAACTTGCATGGTGAGGTCTTCTTCCTGTACTTCTTCAAGATCTGGAATCACTGGAATATCTAAAAAACAAAACAAAAACAGAGACCACAACTATTTAAAGATGATCCGATTACATCTTAATTTATGTCAAAATTTGCGAAAATCCTAGAATCATTTATTAAGAAATACAGTAAATCTCCATATATGGCTTCTAGAAAGACATCTTTTTTGCGTGAGTATGTTTATGTGAGACCATATCTGCATGGCACTCTCTCCCCTCCCTCTCTGGCTACATCCTCACAAGAGCTGCCCTGTCACAATAGCCATGCGGCCATGAATATTCAGGAGGTGAGGCGGCAGCTCCTCCTGCTGTGAGAGGGCCGCTGGCCAGGGGCTCCCCAGAAAGCACCCCCTGCTACCTTAGCATTTGGGCCCTGTCAGCGCCGCCCACCTCCAGGACCTGCAGTGGCCGGTGGGCCGACCTCCATGTCCACTCTGCCACTCCGACTGGGGCGGCATCCAGCAATGTGCAAGAGTATTTGCTTGTGGGCCCATCTGTGTGGGGTCGGAAGTCACAGTGCGGCCTGGCAGGGGCTGTTGTGCCAGGAGCCGCCAGCCCGCTGCTCAAACAGTGGGAACCCACTTTAATTGGCAAAACGCAACAGGACAGAGGATGGCTCCACTCCCAAGAAGGACAGGGCAAACTTTCACAGCATTTTTCAGATGTACATTTGCTGTAGCAGGGAAATAAGAGAGGCATGATGAGGAGTGTAGATGAACTGGTTGGAAAAAGAAAAATGATTAATGATAAATAAAGAGACTGATAGAAGTGTGTTCAAAAACTTTGCAGATACATATATTATCAGAAAGATTTTGTATCGCGAAAGAGAAATGAAGGGCTCAACAGTCAGTGGGGAAAAAAGGTTTTCCCAAAAATCTTTCATTTATCATGTCTCAACATAAGAAAAGGAGACAGCAGGGGAGACACCTACCCTAGCACATGGGCAAGGCTGAGGTTGAAAGGGTCAGCTGCTTCAGGGTCGAGGATTCTACTACACTACGTAGGGACACTTTTTTCAAGAAAGCTTTTCAGCTGCTCCATTTCCTGAGAAGACTGGGGACGTTTGGCAATCACCAGCATCCTCATTTACTTCTACAGGTGCAACATCGGGAGCTCGCTGATGGGCCTCATGCACACAGCATCAGGACCACACCAAAACACACACTGTCCTCCATAACATCTGACAGATGACACAGGAGCACGGCCGCATGTATCACCAGACTTCGGGACAGTTTTTAAACCACCGGTCCATCAGGCTTCTCACAACTCATGAATCTAAATATTCCACAT